GAGGAGGGGAATAAAGTTCCTTTCATTTTTACATCATAATGGCCTTGCTGGGAGAACCCCATGAATTTTATCTTATCTTTTCAAGATGAGGAGCCGTTCTGGGGGGTCGTATCGTCCCCAGGGTGTCACACTAGTGGCGTCTGGCGTGACTCCCCAGAATAGCTCATTGATGGGGAGTCAAAGTGATCACGAGCGGTTCCCCTGGGCTTCGTCTTGAAGGCAAATATCAAAATTATCACAAAGTGCGAGTGTTCAGTCGTTCTACTACTTCAGTTGTGTTTTACGTCTTTGCGTCGTGGGCTTCGTGACCTCTGACCTTTCACCTCCCTTTTGGTGCTTACTTGTGAAGTTAATGATTCAGAAAGAGAAGCTTTGTGTGAGACGTACTCCGATATTCTGTGTCTTCATAATAAAGTGTACTTAAGGAGGTATTCTGGAGGAGGAGTTATACTAGTTCATGTATCTTGTTGTAACGGGGATCACGTCTGAACCAATCATTTGCATAAAGGACCGTTTCATTGACGCACTTCACTCACACGCAACTATAAAACACTCACATGTACTCTGACGTAATACTTCTCTGAGTGACGCGTCACACTTTTCCTTTTCATTCCACACAATCACCGACCATCAGAAAAGCCTTGAATACACACACGCTTTATTTTGAAAATGACACATAAATAGATGACACACATACATGCAGCATATAAATAAATATATATATATTTATTGATATACATGTGTGTATGTATGTGTGTGTTTGTAGAATATATAGGCTACACATCTGTGCGCTGTGTATAGATATAAATACACTTCTGATACCACATCATATGTAAGACTCCTTTACAATATACAAACGAAGCATAGATATAAAACTTATAATGAAGGATTATCGATTATGGGCAGTGAAATCTTCTCCCGCGTATTCATTTAGTTTGAGAACACGAAGTGTGCAAACTGCTGCGTCTCTGTGGGTGTCGAACCTGCCTGTGTTTGGTATTCCGTGCAGAAAGCCTCCCACGCCCCGTGTGTCCGCCCACGCGCGGATTTGCGTCACGCAGGGAGCAGCGTGGGCGAGAGAGAGAGAGAGAGAGAGAGAGAGGGAGAGGGGGAGAGAGAGGGGGAGAGAGAGGTGGAGAGGGGGGGGGGGGGGAGAGAGAGAGGGGGAGACCGAGAGAGAGAGAGAGAGAGAGAGAGAGAGAGAGACAGAGAGAGAGAGAGAGAGGGAGAGGGAGAGGGGGAGAGAGAGAGAGAGAGATAGAGGGAGGAGAGAGAGATGTGGGAACACGACGAAGAGAAGAAGAGAGAAAAATTTGAGGGTTGAGAACACAAAGGGGGAGAAA